AAATTTTGAAATTTGTGATAGGTCTATTTTCGGGCCATAGCGAGCGCCGACGAGCGTCACTTCCGGTAAATTTGATATACCTGATGCACCTCTCCAGACATAGCTCTACCTAGCCTCAAAGTTTGAAGTTTCTATCTAGAGCCGTTTTTCGGGAAAATTGTGGACAAAATGACCCTTAAAAATCAGAAAATCGACGATATCTCTAGACCGGAAGTGACGTCATCGAAACGGAAAAAAATGCATAAGGTTCAAGTGATGTTTCATACGTCCTGAAAGTTTCATAAGATTTTGTTGAGCCGTTTTCGAGAAATCGCGTGCACAAAATCGGTAAGAAAAAAAAAAATAATAAAAGTGAAAAAGAAACCGAAGAAAAACAATAAGGTCTTCCGCTGAAGACGGAAGACCTTAATAAGAAACAGAGTAAAAACAATATGTTCCCCAACTTCGTTTGGGGAACATAATAAACCATGATTGTGCTCTCTTCTCTTATCAGTTTTTTGCATTGATAATAAGCCGCAATTTGAAAATAAGCCGGTTTTGAAAATAAGCCCCCAATTTCTTACCAAAACTTAAAATAAGCCGCAGCTTATTTTCAAGGTTTTAGGGTATCAGGTCCATTACCTACATTAACATTTATTTATAAAGCTGTGAAATGCAATTTATTCATGCATGCTTGACTTTTTTAAAATGCGTGCAGATTTTCTATTTTCCACAAAACATGCCATTGTTTTCAGTGTTTCAATATTCCAGTCACCTGAGATTCATCGTTAACTTCCACAAATTACTTTATTTTATTCCATTTTGCGCTTCACAACATAGTCTTTAAAAACTTACTCTTGAGCATAACAGTAGGAAGCACATTAAGACTTTAATAGCCATTCTCTGTAAGCATTTAAACTCTTACATAGGGAGTGTGGCACGCATGGTCTTGGATTTTTATGAAACTTGGCATACATTCCTATATTGATGTATGTAACTAAAATTCATAATAAAATGGTTGCTATGGTCCATGGTTACCATGGCAACCAACATACATTTTTCATGGCCTAAAAATCGCTAAATTTTGATGGAAAAATGACCCTTTTTTGACTTATTTAAAGTCTTAAATGGAACAAGCTATTAATATGACTATACCTTTTTGCCAAAGTACATTAAAAAATTAGATAAATGGTTAACAATAGCAAAAACAAAGAGAAGAAAAATCAATTTTCATGACTAAGGGTCAAAGGTCAAGGTAAAATGGCAAATTTAGATAGTTATTTAAGGAAATTAAACAACTTTTGTTCTGTGCCATAACTAATACATGTGTTTTAAACAACAAATAAAGAAACAAAATTAGAGTTCAGCTCAACAGTAACTAGCATCATATGAATGTGTACCCATGTGGACAGAAGGTCAAAGGTCAAGGTCACAATGGAATATAAAGAACTAGGCACGCTAACTCCCAATTTTCGCCTACATTTTGCGACCATTTTATTTAATATTAATGGCAATTTAGCCATAAAATCTTTGTTTAATACAAAAAACAGTTCAATAGTATTTGATTCATTATTTTAATACCAGTGCTAAATAGTACTTTATCCCTTATTCAAACTCTTGAAATAAATGGGGGGGGGGGGTCAATGATATTTTCCATTGAAATCGGGCTTTAAAGCATCACCATATTTTGAAAAAATCTTGGATATAATTTAATGTCCCGTATATTTTTTCTCATGTTTTAAGCAAATAAGTAAAACATATATATTTTAATAAAATACACTGTTTTAACTGGAAATCGCTTTGAAATTGGGAGAAAATAGGCATTTATATTCGTTTTTCGTCTATAAAAATATGCCCCTCCCCCCCCCCCCCATCTGTCTGTTTAACATTTTATTATTGTGGGATATCTTAAGAGGCCTTCAATTTTTTTTTCAATTTGAGTTTATACCACAACTCGCTTTGGCGTTAAAAAACCCCTATTTATTTCTATGTCAAAAGGTCAAGGTAAAAAAAAAATGATTGTATGTTAACCTCTCATTTCCGAGCGATATCTCAAAACACATTTAGGTAAGCTTTTTAATATCATAACTCTCTATGGTCCTGCCTGCCCCTCTTTAAGTGTCCCATCCCCTACCCCCCCCCCCCCTCCGACACCCCCCCCCCCACTCCTCTTAATCTACACAGTTCTTTTCTCCATAAGCAGGGGACACTAATTCTTTGAATTAGCTTACTCGGGTATTCGGAATACTGGTCTTGTAAATGTTGTATCCTGACCTCTATCCTGTATATCAAATGTATTTTATTGAAACTCGTATTCTCGTTTTAGCATAATGTAAAAATGCTTATATGTACGGTTTTCAGGTTTTTTTTATATAAAGGTAAGCAATTAAGAATATTGAATGACTCACTTTCCATACTGAGTGCAAGACTTCTTGTACGTAGAGAATTGGGGTACAAGCTTTTTTAAAAATACACTCTTTTGTTGTTTTAGTAAACTAATTCCTTGCTCCTAAATGAACATTTTTTAAACCACATTTAACAATCTAAACTTTTCAAGTGACAGTCAAAATGTGTATTCAAGTGACTTTTTTCAGAGAAGTTGATGGAAAAATCTAATTTACTTTGCAATATCATTCTTTAAAAATTGAGATTTTAGAGATGTTGATGGTAAATATTTCTACTCAAATATGCCTGGATCTACGCAAAAGATCTGCTATTTCCAAAGTTAAATCAATGATAATCTGTTATAAAAATCTACTGGACCTGTTCGAATAATCAGCTTAGGTTTGTGCTTTTAAAAATTGTTTTTTTTTTGGTGAGGGGGGGGTCAGAAAAATATTTTCGTTATTAATAAAATACTGATATTTAATATTAATTGTACTGCTATAAGGTTAAATCATATCTTAGTCCAGAGAAATGATAAACCGTTAACTTTAAATTTGATTCACAGACAATTTGTATTTCTATGCAACTCCCCCCAATCATCAAAAGTATATGTTAGACTGGTTAACAAAACATTTTATACTTGTTTATCCTGTTTAAAAACTATATAATATGACTGTGTTTACTGAGGGGTTAGGGGACGACCTTTGATCCAGAAGGGGGGGGCACAATTTATTTCAAGTTAGGTTTTTTTTTATGACAGGACATATTATTTATTGCCAAGATGATCTTTAGGGGAAATTATTAATATTCTTCTTCACAGAAAAAAGTCTGAAGAGCAAAGAAAAAATCAATAATAATGAATAAAATACCCAAACTCTTTTTCGTTTGGGAAAGGCGTGGAGGTGGGGTGGGGTGGGGGGGGGGACTTGTATCGATAACAATTTTTAACCCATATACAATACATATTATACTATAAGATTTTTATTACTGAAATAACGACCTGTGAATGGGAATTGTTGCTATTATTCAGTATAGATTACTTTTTTCCTTTCAGCCAAGGACATATTATTCAGTTAGTCTTTATAATCACATTCAGTTTAAAAAAAATTGTTTTCTAACGCTGTATTCATTACAATCCTCCAGTATATCACTCTGACTATCGTGAAACACAGTAATTCTTTAAAAAAAAAAACAAATTCATAATACTAGTAATTCTGATATTTCAAGTTTATCTTGATTCCTGTTTTGAAACTCCTTTGACCTTGAGGCTAATGCTTATGTACAGAGCTGATTTCCTGTACTATGTAGTCTTGTACATTTTCACCATTTTTCACATACTAGAATTATTCTTTTGCATGTAGGAAATATACAGAGGCTAAAATTTGTATGAACATTAAATAAACAGGAAAAAACAGTTGATTTTACATGGAACCAGGATATACAGAGCTGTATGCTGAAATATGTAAACAACTTCCAGTCATTTTTGTACACAATCGGAACATCACTCGGCCTTTTCCGTCAAGTCGAGTTTTTTCTCGACTTGACGGAAAAGGCCGAGTGATGTTCCGATTGTTTTGTACATTGATTTTTTGTATCTTTCTCACTGAAGAGCTCACAATTATCAAAGGGTGATAATTCAATTTCAAAGTTAATGTCTGCTATTTTAATCAAAGATGTCTCATATTTATAGAGAGAATACCAACGAGGTTTTAACATGCCTTTTAAGATTAGATGTTATATTTTTTATTTCTGTGAGTAACATGAATTGAAGTAGCCGCATTTCATTAAAAAACTTTCCCAAATATTGCATTTTTTCAGAAAAAATCAACTTTAGACACCGTTTCCATGGTAACTACTCAACATTCATATGATCTAACTATATTTTTTTAAGTAGTTTATGAGTTGGTACTTTCCAGCCAAATTTGAAAAAAATCTATGACTATGCGTGCCACAAAAGTTTAAGTGGTTACAGAGAATGGGTATTAAAATGTTATCGGATAAAAAAAAAATCAATATTCGACACAGGATTTTTTCCTTAAACTCTAGTTACACATGTTACACATTCGTTTGAATGTTTTCAAAGTATAATAAAACAGAATTAAATCTATATGTAAAGATAAGATTTTTTGGAATAAAGAATACTAATAATGTATACACGTATTTTCAATTTTATGCTACATTTAGAGCCGTCGCGTCCTTCAAAAAACCTTCAAAAACCTAATTTTATATTATTTTTATTATGTGTAATATTTATATATAAATATTAAATTTTATTGAAAGGTTGTGTAATTTGCATTCTAATGGTGATAAAAGGACAAATATTGTTGAGTGATTTTAATTACAGATAACATTTCATTTTTCATATGTACTTTATAAGTCAAGCGTCTTCATTTATGACCAAATTATAAAATCATCATAATTATCCCATGTTTCCCACTATTGTTGATGTCCCTGGCATACTCTCAAAACTAGACAGTGATTCCTTATATTTTTATTTCTAAAAATAGATTATGGGAATTTCGTTATTGGTAACAATGAACATCATCTGCTTGTGTATATCAACCAAACCAATCAAAATTCTTTTTTTCCAATCCATGATGTTAACCAAAATCATTTGACAATTTTTCATATTTCTGTAAATAAAACAAATAAGATATTTGAAATGTAGATTTTATTTGGAAACAATTCAAATTTTCAGAATCTGGGGATACATTTTCAGGAAGTGAAAACACAATTTGTATAAAGTGTTAAAGTTAGTAAAATTCAATAATTTCACTTTTCATCTTTAACTTTCTTATTGCGATAGGAACGCAAGTTTGCAAATTGTTAATTGTTTTCCTCAATAATCCTGTATTCGGGAGAGAACTCGATGAAGTCTGTACTGGTGATATCAATTGGGCAGGTATAAGTGGTCAATATTCCGCCATTGACTCTGACCAAGACATTTCTTTCATCTATGATGTCCAATGACAACGTAAACTCCTCAGAAAATACCGCTTCTTCTGCATCAGTGATAACTTCTTCTTCCCAATTTTGATTAACAAACGAATTCAGAACTATAGTATATGATGGATGTCTTGGGTTGAAATGCAGAATGATGTCGTTCTCTTCACCCATCTGTTGTCTAAAGTTTATGGCCATTCCGCTAAAAAGACATTATTATTACAAATTAATGACGCTATTGAGAGAAAATTGAGAACACTGAAGAGAGAGAGAGAGATGAAAAAAATGAGAGAGATAACGAACATTATTCAAATTAAAAGTCTATAGAACAATACAAAAGAAGAGTACAGCAAACAAGGACCCCCCCCCCCCCCAAAAAAAAAAGAAAAACACCAGAGGTAGGATAATGTGCCGTGGAGGAGTGACCATTACCTGACCATTATTAACACCCGCCTTGTGGCCTTGTCATGATCGGGAAATAACGAAAAAAAAAACAGTGTATTAATAATGAACAATTAGCTAGTATGAAAAAGTCAGTCAATATTCGACTCAGTAGTAAATTGTACAGGCTGTATTTGCTGACAAGGTTATTGTATCGACTATAGAAGTTCCAAATTAATGAGATCAAACGAAACTGCATATTCTTGTTTCATCAACTTGTTTGTCAATAATTTACCTCGTTTAAGAAATGTTTATACATCTTGGGTATCGAATCAACTGAGGTATATATGTACACTCTGTTTGCAGATGATGAAGAAAGAGAGAGAGATAGAGAGAGAAATTCACCCTGGTTTTTCCTTTCCTCTTCCGTTATATTTCACTCTGAAGGCAATTCTCTGACCAACCATTACTTGATATCCAATATGACCGATACTTACCTATTAAATCGAAGAATGTAATTAAGATAAATTTTAAGTAGGAATAAATTAACGAAACCTCAAATAATGATTATTTCTAAAAAAAATTTTTAAAGATATTGAAATATGAATTTGATTAGGAGTTGCAGATGATTCACTTATTCTCTCATCAAATGATTTGATATACAACTGATCTGATCGCACTCGATCTAACCCCTGGAGTCAATCTTTGCTCCCATCAATTCAAATAAAATTGTTGAACTAACAATGAAGTAATGGTTGTACTGGTTGTAAAACGTATTTTAGACCTTCCTATACTGTTCTGAAACTTTTACTTAATTAAAATCTTCTTTAAGAAAAAACTATTGAATAGATTAAAGTTGTCTTTTATCAAAGGCATCTTTGGGAAAAAATAACAAGTTATTGCGAGTAAATGTAGTAATTATTATATATTTAATAAGTTGATAAATAATGATACTAGAATTTTCATAGACTTAATCTTGACTATATATATTTACGGTCTTTTATTCCAAAAATCTGTGCAATTGCTTATTTAATGCATCAAATGGATTTATCTCATCGGATAGAGGCCTTTTTCCTATGAAATATTTTGCCTAGGAGTCATTTCCCATAGCCGCCATATTGTGGGGCAACATTTCCAGATCCCTTCATTATTAAACCGAGTTCAATTTGTTATACTGGTTACTGAGGTAAAGATAACACTATTTTTCTTATGAATATACGTTTGTTAAAGTTTCTATTAATTCATAATTTCAAGATTGTAAATATTTCCCCCCATATATTTCTTGCATACATGTTTAAAATTGATTTGGTTGCTCAAAGAGGTAAATTCACTATTTTGCCCTACAAGATGGCAGCTTAGGGGTATAACTCCTATGCAAAATATGTCATAGGAAAAGGGTCTATTTATATTAGGTCTTGAACAAATGAGTTTATATGTAAAGCTTGCAATCGTTACTATCATGTTTTGCAAACCAAAAGAAGTCAAAAGATACTGACATAGCCCATCCTTGAATCTTCTTCTTTAATTTATTCTCTGTGAGATTCTCTATGCTATAAAAATTATATTATAAATATATATATTTATTTAATGCCAATACTAAAAATATTTAAACGTTCATATGATTTCAAAAAATGTCTTCCTTATAATTAGAGAGGGAACTAAAATTGAATTATCACTTTTAGAACTCTATCAAAGTTCTTCTAAAATACAATTTATATGATGAGCTTTACTAAAGAAGACATTCTTTCTGCTTTTTCTGCAATGACCAGTACACACTGATCATTTCATCTATCTTTCTCTTGTTTTCCTTTCTGGATTTTTGAATATAGAAGGATCACTACTGGTACTGTGCAAATCGAGAAAATTTTAGATTCGGACTTCAGCTACTATTGGTTTACATCAATGAGGCAATTTATATCAACTAAACGATCAGAAATTATATAACATTTGATTAAGACGTAATTATTAATGTTCGGTATGGTTTTATGCAGTAGAATTGTTTGTAAGTTGAATAAATATAAGGAGCAATCCAGTAACTCCTTTAGATTAAATCCATTAAATGGATTTCACTGGATTTATTCATATTTGCCCTTTACATGTTAAACACGATTTGCACTGCGTTATTGGTGTTAAAAGTGATATGAATATATACTGTATGAATCATATATGATTTCTCATGTCTTAAACGTTTCATGAGATCAAAACTTTTGATGCTATTTAAAATTTTCTGATAATGTTCAGCGCAAGCATGGTTGCTGTATGTACGACTTCCGGTGTAAAGACGAATAATGACCCCCATCGAATAATGACCGGGGGGTCATTTTTCAACGACAAAAAATGACCCCCACCCGCATAAAAATCATTTTTTGTTGAAAAAGGGTCCTAGGGGGTCATGTTTTATATGTTAGTCCTATAAAATAATGACCCCCATTGAAAAATGACCCCCTTTAAAGTGATACAAAATATACACTCTTTGATATCTTTTTTACAGCGAAACTAATTTTTACATTTTCTGTAACCAGAAATATACAAAAAGTCGTATGAAATAATTAAGAGATTCAGGTACTCTTTCAATGTTAAAATTGTGTTTGAAAAGAGATTCTTTAATTGTCAAGTAAATAAAATTTCTTTTTAATATTCCTCCTTATAATGTTTGCTTAAAGAATGATATTCCACTTGTTTTTAGAAATCAAACCATGCAAAAATCAGGTTTAAATACTCTTTAATAGGAAAAATTAAATTTTCCGTCATTTCAACTTTTAGTTTGTTTAAGTTTGGCAAATCCTATTTGACAATGAAAGAGGAAGAAATTTTTATCCCCCCCCCCCCCCCAAAAAAAAAAGAACATTACGTTAAATCAAAACAAAAAAATAATAATAAATGAGAAGCAAAAATATAAATAAAACTCTATACCTTTCAATAATTCTGAAAGAGGCTCTAGATAAAATATTGAAATGAAGTTAAGCCTTCACACAAGTACTATCATATCATAATTTACTTCGCCATGATTAAAGCATACTTTAAATGTTAGTGGAGGTATACTTGAAAGTATTGTGGCAACATACCAGGTAAAAATTAGTAGAATAGTAGATTATTTTTAGCTTATTTTAAATTCCTTCTTAGTGAAAAATAAAGGTAGGGTGTTTTTTTTGCTCAATATCGACTTCCTCCTAAATAAGAAAGGGGTGGGGTAAGTATAAGACCTAAAAATATGCTCTGTAAAGCTATGGGCTAGTGTAAAATACACAGTCATTCTAATGCAAAAACTATACATGCAAACATAAACTTTTAATTTAGCACACAGTATTCATTATATTTCTTTTAACGTAGAACCTACTTCGTATGACATCATAACTTGAAAATGTGTTAAACCTGTGCTAACCCATTAAGACGTCATAATTCATTCAATGCCACTTTTTCCCGTACTTGACAGCTTCAATAAAAATGGTAGAAAATACTGCATTTTGAAATTCACAGAATTATTTGTTACCTATTCATATTCTTGGTGTTTGATTACAATTTTTCTATTAAATATGATCTTTTTAAAGAAAAAGAACAATTTCTGATAAATATTAATCTGAAAGTAACCCCAAACAGTCATTTAATTATTAAATCCCGTGAAAGTGCAAAAAGGTCAAGAATATGAGCATCGGTAAATAGCCTTTCTTTCATTAGTTAGAGGGGAAAGGTACATATTTTAATCATTTTTTTTCTAATCATTTGGCTATGTTCTTCATCATCATATTGAAGATTGAATAAAAGACGTCTAAAACCTATTTACAAATATAGGGTGAATAATTGACTAAAAATAGTTCATTTGACTATTTTTTAATGGTGGATTTATCTTTTATGTTAATTTAAAAAAAAAGAAATTATTCTTGATAACATATTGTTTAATATTATTCAGTTAAAAAAGTTTATAAACGACGATGTTTGAAGAAGTATTTTTGTGATTTTTCATATTCCCTTTATGACAAGTACCCCTAAAATATTTGAAAATGTGAAGTCGCAGTATGTAAATACCATACCAAATTTCACAGCCTGTTCTAGATTAAAAAACAAGGAAACAAATCATGATATCTTAACTGATTGATAAGCAAGTACTAATTTATCATTTTGAAAAGTTTGAAAATCTTGTGACAAGGACTTTTCCGACATAGATGCTACCTTAATGCTTGTTTTACTCCACACTTTTACTCAGTTCTAAGTATATTTTTCTGAGAATATATTTAATATGAAAATCAGAACAAACATTTTCATTGTTGTAACGTCTTCTTTATAGTGTATATCAATATGAAAAGTTAATTGAAGGCCATTTCTTCTTATGTCCCCGTAATCGAAGATTCGGGGGTATATACCGGTAGTTTTATCGTATTCGTCTGTCTATCTGGCGGTTTGTTTGTCCGCAAAAACCTTAACCTTTACCATAACTTTTCATTTATTGGAGCTATGACTTTCATATTTAATATGTATATTCCTTGTGACAAGATCTTACTTTGGGTACCACCAAATTTGACCTTTTGACCTTTACCTTGGAGTTTGTCCCATTTTACACAAAAATGCCAAATTTTTACTTTGGCCATAACTTTTAAACGGTAGATACTAGTACTCTGATACTTCAAATATGTAGTTTTTTGGCATTACCTTTCATTGAATACTAAAAACCTTGACCTTTTGACCTTGGAGTTTTCCGTACTTATTTTTTTTTTTACCTTGGCCATAACTTTTGAACGGTAAGGGCTAGGGTATTCATACTTCACATATGTAATCCTTGTTACATTAAACATTTTCTTATATAAGAAATCATCAACTTTGACCTTTGAGTTTGACCCACCTTTCAAAAACTTATCCTTAGCCATTACTTTTGAACAAGTGGTGCTAGGGCTTTCCTATTTTGCAGTTGTATTTTTTGTGAGAAGACCCTACTTTGGGTAACAATATATTTAATCTGCATTTAAGAAAAGTAATCTTTGCTATGTTGCCATACAGGGGCATAGCTGTTTCACAAACACATCTTTTTATATATGAGGATTTGCGGATAAGAGATGGATACCTCAAAGCGTAACAGACGGACGGACGGACATCCCAATCCCTATATACCCTCCCACTTTTCAAGCGCAGGATATAATAATATACAAGAGGCCCAGGGGTCACAGAGCTCACCTGAGCACATCGGGCTTGAATTTATCCCCCCACCCCCTCCAGGCGTTCATCATTTGAACAAATTAGAATCTACACTACCTGAGGATGATTCCATATAAATATCACTAATCATAGCTTTGAAGTACTTGAAAAGAAGATTTTAAAAGGTTTCCCTATATATCCCTATGTAAAACTTGGGTCGGCCATTTTGGCCCCACCCTAGCCCCGGGGGTTATGATTTGAACAAACTTGAATCTACACTACCTGAGGATGATTCCACATGAGTTTCATCTTTCCTGGCCCCGTGGTTCTGGAGAAGAAGATTTTTAAAGATTTTTCCTATATATTCCTATGTAAAACTTGGGTCGGCCATTTTGGCCCCACCCTTGCCCCGGGGGTCATGATTTGAACAAACTTGAATCTACACTACCTGAGGATGCTTCCACATGAGTTTCATCTTTCCTGGCCCAGCGGTTCTGGAGAATATTTTTTTAAAAATGCCATTAATTTTTAACAAATTCATGATTATCTCCCCTTGGAAAAGGACGTGGCCCTTCATTTGAACAAACTTGAATTCCCTTTAACCCAAGGATACTCTGTGCCAAGTTTGGTTGAAATTGGCCCAGTGGTTCTTGAGAAGAAGATGAAAATGTGAAAAGTTAACGACGACAACGACGACGACGACAACAGACAACGGACAAATTTTGATCAGAAAAGCTCACTTGAGCCTTCGGCTCAGGTGAGCTAATAATACTGCTGATTTTTTTCTGTCAGTTCGATGATTTCCATCAAAAAACAATGTTTACCTAACCCTTAAGGCTTGATAAATCTTTTACTCCTTTAGATTCTGAATCATTGCATTTACCTTAAAATATAGCTATAATTGTATAATGTTATGAGATCAACATATCATCAGTTTATTCCCAATAAGCTCAGGTGAGCATTTTGGCCAATATGCTTCTTTATCCAATTTTTTTTGCCCCCTAAAAATTTTAGCTTTAATTTACAGGGGGTCATTTTTCTACGGGGGTCATTTTTCTTCACGTGGGTTCTGCAAATTTTTATGGAAGTGACACTTTTTCTACGGGCAAAAGGGTCATTTTTCTACGTCGAATAATGACCGGGGGTCATTTTTCGCTGTCGAAAAATGACCCCCGGTCATTATTCGATGGGTGTTATTATTCGTCTTCACACCGGCTCCTGTAATTGCTGCGTTTGGTTTCTGTTCTGTTTCATAAGGCGCCACGTTTTACTGCTGTATCATTTTATTTATTATCGACACATTAGATAGTACAACGTCCTTGAATACGTCCCAAAAACATATACCTCCAGTCCTTAACTGGTTGTTTCATAAATAAAGTTTCTATCATTTTTTATGTATTGCATATAGCACCCCCCACCACCACCTCC